TATCTCTACTCACCCCCTCATAAAAAGTTAGCAAGTTAGTTAGGCAGGAACGATCTTTCCTGAACCCATGCTGATTGACATTAACTATGCCCTTATCCTTAACACATTTTACCAAATAGTCCTTAATTATACCTTCTAACAGTTTACAAACTACTGATGTTAGACTAACTGGCCGAACTATGTGTTTTATCACCTACGTCGAACCCGTTTCCCTCCTGAGTGTATACTGAGGAGAAAAAATTGTTCAGCGCCTCAGCGTCTCCTTGTCACTTGTGAGTAACTGCCCGTGTTCGTCCTTTATTGGGCCTATCTGCTCCTTTCTTACCTTTTTACTGTTAATATATTGGTAGAATTTTTTAGGGTTTTTTTTACTATCTGCGGCGATATGCTTTTCGCATTTTATTTTAGCTTCCCGGATTACTAGTTTGCATTTTTTGTTACATTCCTTGTATTTAGGGAACGCCAATGCCGTCCCTTCCATCTTATATTTTATAAATGCCATTCTCTTTGCCTTAACATGTAGTTTTACAGTTTTATTTAGCCATATCGGTTTAGTCTTTGATCTTTTGTTTTTGTTACCCAATGGTATACACTTTGAAATGGCAATATGTAATGTGTTCCTGAAGCAGTCCCACATTTGGTCTGAGTTTAGGTTGTGAAATGAGTTATCCCATTTTATTTCCCCCACTAGTTTGCGCAACTTATCGAAGTTTGCCCTTCTGAAATTAAGGGTTCTTGTCCGTCCCGCCCTCTTTCCTTTCCTGTATTTAATATTGAAAGTAATCACATTGTGATCACTACTACCCAGTGTCTCCCCAATTACAATATCCTCGATTAATTCCCCATTATTAGTAATTATTAAATCTAGGATGGCATTTTTCCTAGTTGGAACCTCCACCATCTGTTCCAAGAAATTGTCTCGCAACAAGTTCAGAAATCGGCCCGCCTTTGTCGATCCTGAGGTACCATTAGCCCAATTGATGTCCGGGTAATTGAAGTCGCCCATCACGACTACATTGCCCTCCCTCCCAGCTATTTCTATTTGGGAGTGTAGATTTGCTTCCCCCTCCTCCCCTATATTCGGAGGCTTATAGCAAATACTCACAATAAGGACAAGGGTCCGCCATATTGAGCTCTAGCCATAAGGTCTCCACATCTTCTCCACTGTTTGATGTGATATCGTCCCTTATATGCATATTATAAGGGACCCTCCTGAATAGGGGGAGGAGTATTTCCAATTGAAGAGAAGCACAGAGCACAGGTGGAGGAGGAGCCCCGTGACATGGAGTGCACTATATGAAGTTGGACACGGATTGCAATATGACAAAAAATTTTTTTTTTAATGGACACTGATTGTGATTAGTGTAACAATTCCTGGTGTATTTTTATCTTCTCATAGAGATCACAGTACTCGCCCTGAATATGCCTCTCTAGAAGTATGGCACCATGTTTGTTCAGGCATCATACAGGGTCATCATCTCTCTTCCTTTACTGAAATGCCAGCTCAGATATGACACAATCATGTGCATCCTGATGCCTGCGCAGTTCTTGGCTGTGTTCACAAATGCCTGACACAGATTAGCTTTGGGTGAGTATAACATTTTTATTTTTACACCTAGATGAAAATAAGCACCTGACCCTTACAGCGCGGGGGTTGTCCCACTGCAAGGGATAAGAAGTTTTTTTCTTTAAATTGTACAGAAAATAAAATAATTTTGTAAAACAATTTTGATAAAAGAGAACCTGTCTATCATTAAAGGAGAATGTAAAACCCCAGCAAAGCCGTTATTGTACTGCTCATGTGTCTGTGTGCTATGCAGTGACTGGTACATGAGATTCCACACGCCGGGGATTGGTAGAGAGATTTCACTGATAAACACTCATACACATGATGACTTTTTATGATAGAATAGTGTATGAGGAGTGTTTGGCGAGTCATTTATCATAGTGCGTGTCCATGTCATTGCTGAGCAGGCCAGACACATCCTTTTATGTCATTCTTTTTATTATGGAATTATTTTGTATATAAAACATTGATCTGCATCCTGTATTGCACCTCATAGGGACTGAAGGCACACAAGCAGAATTATTTGGATGTTCAGCACCCATAGAAAACGAAGAGTTAAAGTAAAAGAAACAGAATGACATTTGTATGATGACAGTTTGTATTGGAAAGCAGATGGTGATCAGTAAATTCAGAGTCTGCTTCCTGGGGGAATCCGGCAGAAACTTTCATCCAGTAAAATATCACATTTGTTCTTTGGTGACTCTTTTGTTGTTCTTTTGTTCTATTATGAGCGGAGCGGTCCCACCACTGTAATCATGTGTTGAGTTTTCGGATATCTCTAGTGACCCGCTCACCTCAGGTGTCTATAGTCCCGGGGGAACTGCACAGAGATGGTTTCACATCTCTCTAAAAATGAACAATGATGTCACCGGCTTTACTATTCTGTACAATCTGCTGCAATGTTTGGAATATGTCACATCGGGAGAAGCGAAGACAACAAAGATATTGAAGATTTTAGTGTACAATTAAATGAACTTTTGCACGATATTCTAATTATTCGAGTTTCACCTGTAGCTGAACCGGAAAGTGAGCTGAATTGGAGAATTTTTCCAAATCGGCTATTTTGTCCTAGATAGTTCACTTTTCCTGCCTTCTCCAAACACTTCACCCTTTTGTGAATAGACCTGTAAATGTGTCTCTGACTTCAGTGAGCAGGTGAAGAAAAGTCAATTCAGATTCCATTCCCTGAGAGATTGTCCAGAAACTTTCATGCAATAGAACAAACTCTGACTGTTCTCTGAAGACGATGTTTAATAATAATTTACTAGAGAAATGCTTTCCAGGATGAGCAATGCTGAGAGAAATAAAAAAATTACATGTAGGCCTTTTCTTTTACAGGAAATTCAGAATTTATTATAGATAAAATTCAATGGAAAATATACAAGAAAAGTGCATTATATTGAAAGTCAAATTCTACTGTTCAATAAAATATTAATATTAATATTAGTAATAATAATTACAATAAATATGATAAATAATGGACTAGATGAGTTTCTGGTTTTTGAAGTAATATATTCTTTATAGTAGGTGGATCCAATCTCGATATCAGCACATCACATCCCACATCCCAGAAATAACAGAGAATCATTCAGTAAAACACTAGACTCAAATGGGTATGGACCACAATGGACAATCAAAGAACACCTTTTTGTAACCTGAATAGATACGCCAAAAAACATGACTGTGTTGGGATGTTTGACTCCCACCCATTTCCTACAAGAAGCTTTTTTGCATCTTGCAACTTTTATACACAGGATATTTTGGATCCTCATTGTTTCTGATATCTTTCCAAAACAATTTTGATGTCACTCTCATCTAGGCACCATGTGCAGAAACTGGGGGTAAGGTAAGTATATTGACTTTTTGGGTATTTCTTTACACTTTTATATAGCTTTTGGTCATGGGGTGGGGCATTCATTAAATAAGTGGACCTTGATTTTTATTTCAATGTAAATTGAAAATTAATTAAAAATAATAGTATTAATAATTCTTAATAATTATTAAAATTAAAATTATTTTTGATAAATGACAACAAACTCTAACAATCTAGAAATTTCTTGTCTTATGGTAGTCAGAGCACCTGTTCCAGGCAGGTCCATGTTGGAGCCAGATTATTCTATCACAATCTGGATCAGGACCAAAGTCTAGCTGATGCAATTGTAGACAAGGTTGAATATCAGGAGCAGTCCATGATCAGTGCAAAGGTAGCAGCAGAAGTAATGGTGGAAAGGCAGGTAACTGGTCAGTATTTAGCTGGTGTCTGCAGCTAGTGGGGTTAAATATGAGGTGGAGGGTGATGAGGAGTAGTCAACCAAAATTAGTAAATGAGCAGCTGAGTTTGGATGCTTAACAGGAACAACAAACTAGACATTGCAGCAAGCTCAGTAAATTTGGAAAACAGGACGCTGGGGTGGAGTCATGGAGTTCAGAGTTCAAGACTGAGAAAAGTAAGGTACTCATGAAGTCTGACACAGAGATCAGGAAGATAACCAGAATCTCAGAAAGCTTTGTGACACAGATGAATTTAAGAGTTTGAATCCTAACGCAAGCAGCATGCATAGGAGAGATATTGAAAAGGGAACAGTGATGAAAGCAGTTTCATACAATAGATTGCCTATGATCTTTCCCTTTAATCCACATAAGCAACGATGAGAAGCAACAACATATATTAAAAAGTATAACTATTTTATTTAATTTAACTTTAAATACAAATGGAAGAAGCAGCATATAATTGCATAACGTTTTTGGTGACAGAATCTCTGCTTATCTAATTTCCATTAAAGATTATGTGCACTTTAAAACAAAGTACATTACTAATATTTGCTCTTTCCCCTGACCTAACCTGATCCCCTCTCCCCCTTCCTCTGCAAAAATGCATACTCACTTCAATCCCACAACTGAAGATGCAGTTTGTTTACATCCAGTGCTGCAAATCATTACTGTCCTGGCCACACCTGCATAATACAGCCTTATAGACTTTTATAGGACTGTCTCCAGCCTTAGGACACAGTCCCTAGACAGATTCTCAGATTCTACAAGAGGCTATGGGGCAATTATATGCAAGCTTGGTCAGGACAATGAAGACTATCTCCACCGAATGTAAACAGCAGATCCACAGCCATCACATTTAGGTAAGTATGCATAAGAGGAGGGGGAGAGTGTGGTAGGTTAAGTCAAGCGAAGAGGACAAAAAGGATACGTTCATTTTGTTTTAAAGTACATTTATCTTTTAATTCATTTCTTAATAACCATTATCATTTATTTCAATTTCTAGTCTAATAAATAGTCAGATAAGTTCAGTTACCAAGAATACATGACTATAATCCTGTTATTTTATGAATAATATTATAAATAATAGGAAAAGAGAAAATAATCCTTTAAAAGCCATTACAAGCAAAAAAATCCAGCATACATGTATTAAGATCAGAATATTTCATATCATTCTTCCTGCCAGCATGGATTTTCTTGTGTTCAGCTCAGGTTTAAAAAGTAGAATATACAATTTTGGAAAAAATATACAGACTAATATTCCAGTACTGGAGGTCAGTATGGCAAATATCTCCACAGCTACTGTATACTTTCCTCTGGTGCTCAGATAGGCCGGGATCATGGCAATCCAGACACTGCAGAAGACCAGCATGCTGAAGGTGATGTACTTGGCCTCATTAAAACTGTCCGGTAATGCCCTCACCATGAAAGCCAGAACAAAGCTCACAGCTGCCAGAAGCCCCATATAACCCAACACAGAGTAGAACCCGATAACTGACCCTTCATTACACCGAATGATGATCTTCCCGGGAGAAGAGTGCATGTCATACTCTTGAAATGGTGGAGATATGGACAACCAGAAAACACCATTCATAACCTGAATTAATGAGCAGAACAACAGGACTGTATTGGGAAGTTTGACTCCTACCCATTTCCTACAGGAGCTTCCAGGTCTGGTGGCTTTAAAAGCAATAACAACCATGATGGTTTTGGCTAGGATAGAAGACAGAGAGACTGTGAAGACAATTCCAAAGAAGACTTGTTGTAGCATACAAGTTATATCCACCGGATGTCCAAGGAACAGGAACACAGAAAGGAAACTCAGCATGAGAGAGAAGAGCAGAATGAAGCTGAGGTTCCTGTTATTGGCTCTGACTATGGGAGTGCTCCGAAACCAAACAAATAATCCAAGTATACAGAGAGATGCAGTGGAAGATATGACTGAAGATGCAGAAAACAATGGAACCATAATGTCCTTCTCATATGACAAATATTCATAACATTTGGCAACACAAATATTTCTAGCCTCATTAGGCCATTGATCTGCAGGACACATCTGGCAGTTTTCACTATCTGTAGAAGAAACATATACTGAAAAATGTGCATAATGTACAATGAATGCTGACACCCAACCTTATTTTATTTATTTATTTATGTATTACAGGTATTTATATAGCACCAACAATTTATGCAGTGCGTTACATAGTTGTACATTCACATCAATCCCTGTGCTTAATGAGCATACAATCTAAGGTCTCTATCTTTAGGTCCCCACACACCTTACGATAATCGTACGATAATTGAAGGAAATCCCGCGATTGTACGGATATCGTAAGGTGTGTGGAAGCCGTGCGACCTTTACTACTGTAAGGTCGCACGACTTTAAACTTACGAACATGTTTCAAAACCCGCCGAGCATCGTACGATGTTCGGCGGGTCTGTAGCATTTTCGTAAGATAAAAGCCAGACGGGCCGGTGTGTGCAAGCGCACACTGCCCGTTCGGCATTGCGGTCATCTGAAGCCCGCCCCTCAGGGGGCGTGGCTTGCGATCATCGCAAGTACAATCTGCCTATGCAAGATAGGCAGATCGTACGTTTTTTGAAGTAACTTACAAGGTAAGGTGTGTGCCCAGCCTTAGATGCATACATATGAGGGCCAATTTATTTAGGAGCCAATTAACCTTCCAGTATGTCTTGGGAGTGTGGGAGGAAAACTGGAGCACCCGGAGGAAACCCACACAAGCACAGGGAGAACATGCAAACTGCTTGCAGATGGTGTCCTGACCAGTATGTGACCAGAGTGTATTGATGACCAGGCATGGTTTACCAGTGTTGGTATGTGTCAGTTAACTTGAAAATACCTCTATGACTCATCTCTCCAACAGACAGTGGGTATGGAAACTCAGAACACAAACATATGTGCATTCCTAGTTCTCAGCAGGAAGGTAAATTCAATTTCTCCCAGCAAGGCACACTTTGTATTCTTACTAATCAGGGTATTTTTACTAAAGTCAAACAGACTGTTCACTTTTCAAGGGAATTAACACTTTGCAGGGGAATTTTCTTTAAGCTAATTGAATGAGGTGAAGCTCTGCTGACTTATATCAACCAATCATGTGCAAGCAAAAATACTATTTTGTTTTAATTTTCCTTGCATGTGATTGGGTATTCTTTGCAAAGACAGTTTTCACCACATTCACTACATGAAGAGAGAATTTATTTGCAAAGTGAACCATCTTATTGTCTTTATTGAATTAACCAAAATAAATCATATTGTAGGGACAAAGGGGTTAAAGATTGATTGTATTGAGATAAACACAAAAACATCAAGTGTCTTTCTAAAGGTGCCCATACACTGCTCGATTCTCGTCCGAGAATCGCGGGAAATCCCGCGATCGTACGAGAATCGAGCAGTGTGAGCGAAGATGTGCGACCGTTTCTACTGTACGGTCGCACGCCTTTTGTCTAAGGAGCACGCTAGAAAACAAGCCGAAAATCGTACGATTTTCGGCTGGTTTGAACGGTGCTCGGGAGACAAATGCCGAATGGGCCGGTGTGCGCATGCGCACACTGCCCGTTCAGCATTCCGGTCATCGTAAGCCCGCCCCTCAGGGGGGCAGGCTTGCTATGATCGAGAGTACGATCTGCCTGTCCAAGATGGGCAGATCGTACGTTTTTTTAATCACTTTACAACCATCGCAAGACTAAGGTCTTGCGATGGTTGTACAGTGTATGGCCACCTTTAGTGTTACCTCTCCTACTAGGTGATTGACAGCAGCTACCTGCAGAAAAGCAATAATCTTCAAATCAGTCATTCAAGATTTATATAGATACGTAGTTGACAAGGTTAAAAAAAAGCACAGGTCCATCTAGTTCACCATGTGTGAGTGCCTAAGAATCCTGATAGGTGTATGTGTGTGTGTGTTTTATTTTTAACCAGGAAACAAAATGTTACAAATGCATAAATATATCATACAAAACCAGAAAAAGGAGAGCTAAAAGCTAGGACTATCCATTCTACACACTCACATAACAGATGCTGTTGTGAAGTAGATCAGGGAGATCAGATCACACAGACTACTTATAGAGTCACAGAGAAAGGACACTCCTCGGTTACCTCACCTACCAGAAATGAGAAGATCTGGCTTTTAGCTGGAGTATCATAAACATAACTTGTTTTAAATAATTTCTTAAATAATGTTTTTAAATCCATAACTTTACAAGATATTTTTTATCCTATTGACCTTTACAAAAGATTTAAAAATATATATTTTTAGACCTAATGACAAATACTTTATAAATAATATATAATAAAATAATTGTATTTATTTATTTACATGAATAAAATACTGAGATTCGACAAGAAGCTATAATAGTCTGGGGTCAATGTTATTGTGGTTGTGTTTCTTTTTAACTGTGGTTTAACTTTGGTTTTCTTTATCATATAGAATGTGTTTTAAAAATAAACTTTTAATATATTGTAAAGGATTTCCAAGAGCACTGTGAGTTTGCAAAAGAGGCCAAAAAGCAAATGCAAATTGCCTTGAGCAAAACCTTCAGCTAAGTCCTGTGATCATAGATGAACTGCTGCTGTGAGGACTGCATTAAACAACCTTCTATCAGCACAGCTTCAAATGATACAATGTGATACAATGTTTTACAGGCTAAAAGGGGGCTAGAGCCCTTCCCAATTACTGGATTGAAGACTACATACTATTAACCAGTTAAAATGTCGCTATCACACCTTTAAGCAAATAAAAAGACAAGTTCCCTGCAAGAGGTAGGATACTCACCTCTCCAGTGGCCAATGACTCCTAACTTTTCAAGCATTGCATCCTCCATTCAGTCTCTTTGAAGCTGAACACTTTTGGGGATGCCAGCAGCATGTGTCTCTCTCCACACACTATGGTTTCATCCTCCAAACCCCATGTTCTCTAGGACTCAACAGTAACACAGTGGATGGAAAAAGGTGTCAATGTGCAGTGGGGGGAAAGAAAGTGGGGAGATAGAAGCATCCAACACCCTGAAATTAATCAATGCCTTAGACTGATGGGTGCTGCAGTGCTGCAACAAAGGAGAGGTCTGAGTCATGGGCCACCAGAGATGTGAGTATACTTCCTCCTCTCTTGACAGAAACTAGCCTGTTTATTAATGTAACTGCTTCCTGCCATATGCAAATATGTGGCATCCTTATGCCATGCTGCCACATATATGTGTCACTGGGAAGTGTGCTCAGTCATGCTCCCACAGCACTGTGGCCATGATGTCACTGGCTGCGCCCAGTCACAGAGTAACAATTGGATGCTGGTATTAAAAATCTACAGATCTCATGATCAGTGTGACCGAATCAGTTGATCACATAATCAGGAAGCATATGCAACACCTCAGACTTTGTTTGCCCTTAAGTGGTTAAGGAGCTAGGAAATGCCTGGAATGTCCTACAGCCCTTTTGTGCTTAGTCCATGACCACATGTGTAGCTGCTGGGACTTGTTATTAGGGGTTTATTTATCAATTTTGATGACCACAAAACATTAATTATTTAAATTTTGCATATAGCTTCTTCATGATTTGTACCATAAACATTATTTTGGTATCAATATAACAGGCAAAACTGCACAATAAAATTAGGACTGTATGTCCATGGTAATACTTTGTTTTAAAGGTATCAATGGTCACACTGGACAAAAAAGAGAACTTCTTATTCATTGTAAATATTTTAAAAACTGAAATACATTCCCTTTAAGTTTTCCAGGAACATAAAGATTACCAGAATGGATTGATATTTCTCCCTCTGAACACGGAGCACAGTCATAACAACATATGTGATACCCTTCCCTTAGAGCTTTTCTAAACCCTGGAAGACATTCCTCAGAACATCGACCTCTTGGGACCTAAGATAACAATTTGTGCTTAGTCCATGACCACATGTGTAGCTGCTGGGACTTGTTATTAGGGGTTTATTTATCAATTTTGATGACCACAAAACATTAATTATTTAAATTTTGCATATAGCTTCTTCATGATTTGTACCATAAACATTATTTTGGTATCAATATAACAGGCAAAACTGCACAATAAAATTAGGACTGTATGTCCATGGTAATACTTTGTTTTAAAGGTATCAATGGTCACACTGGACAAAAAAGAGAACTTCTTATTCATTGTAAATATTTTAAAAACTGAAATACATTCCCTTTAAGTTTTCCAGGAACATAAATATTACCAGAATGGATTGATATTTCTCCCTCTGAACACGGAGCACAGTCATAACAACATATGTGATACCCTTCCCTTAGAGCTTTTCTAAACCCTGGAAGACATTCCTCAGAACATCGACCTCTTGGGACCTAAGATAACAAAGAATATAAATCATTAGAAATACATTTATTAAACTTATAAAACTAGAAAATTAAAAAGGACAACATGCCAATAAATTAATGTTATTCAATGTAGGCAAATTTTATTTTCAAAGGGAAAACCCTTGAGTACTTTGTATCCATATTGCCTAATTTTCTCACGTGTGTGTCTGGTTGAAATTGAAGCTTTGGGTCTAATTCTAAGCTGGACAGTTTCCTTTCTCAATTTCTTCAGGAGAACAACATGGAATGCATGGGCCCTGATTTGTTTACTTAAAATTATTTTTTTTAATTTGAAAGGCAACTTTTACTTAGCTAAGTGAATGTGGTGAAAATTAATTTGGGAAACGAATACCCAAAGTTAAAGGATTTCTAAATCCAAAAACAAAAATGTAATATTTTGCAGCTTACCAATCCTTAAATGTGGTGGCTGCATTAGTTTTTTTTCCTTTATTTGCAGCTGGTGATCCAGCCAGTAACACACTTTCTGTCTAAAGGTGCCCATACACTGCTCGATTCTCATACGAGAATCGCGGGAAATCCGGCGATCGTACGAGAATCAAGCAGTGTGAACGAAGACGTGCAACCGTTTCTACTGTACGGTCGCACGCCTTTTGTCTAAGGAGCACGCTAGAAAACCAGCCTGAAATCGTACGATTTTCAGCTGGTTTGAACGGTGCTTGGGAGACAAATGCCGAATGGGCCGGTGTGTGCACGCGCCCACTGCCCGTTCAGCATTGCGGTCATCGGAAGCCCGCCCCTCAGGGGGGCGGGCTTGCGATGATCGAGAGTACTATCTGCCTGTCCAAGATGGGCAGATCGTACGTTTTTTAAATCACTTTACAACAATCGCAAGACTGAGGTCTTGCGATGGTTGTACAGTGTATGGCCACCTTAAGGGTGGCTCCACTACAATGTCCATCATTGGACAGTAGCATTGTCAGCATGTGAGTAGGGTGATACTGTAGCAGATTTAGGTGGGCTTGACTAACAATTTAAATATGAACTACAGCTAACACATTTTAAGCAGTTGTACAGCAACAGTTTATTTATTTTCCTTTCGGTAAATGTTTTACATAAATGAATAAAAGTAAGAATGAATAAAAATAAAAGCTGACCATGGAAGTCACCCCTGTCACTGTTAAATGTTTTGTCCCTCTAACTTCCACCTTTACAAGACAGCGTGGTTAGTTAAAGGCAGTTGAAAAATTACAAACTTACTGGACAGATCACAGGTAACAGTAAAGGGGGAAAACTAATGCATCCACCAAATCTAAGTATTGGAGAGCTGTAATATATAAAAATTTAGATTTTGGGGTTAAGAATTAATTTTAAGTAAAAATTCCCTCTGCATTGAGAAAACTCACTTTAAAAATAAAAAATGCATTTAGCTCCCTGGAAGACATTCCTCAGAACATCGACCTCTTGGGACCTAAGATAACAAAGAATATAAATCATTAGAAATACATTTATTAAACTTATAAAACTAGAAAATTAAAAAGGACAACATGCCAATAAATTAATGTTATTCAATGTAGGCAAATTTTATTTTCAAAGGGAAAACCCTTGAGTACTTTGTATCCATATTGCCTAATTTTCTCACGTGTGTGTCTGGGTGAAATTGAAGCTTTGGGTCTAATTCTAAGCTGGACAGTTTCCTTTCTCAATTTCTTCAGGAGAACAACATGGAATGCATGGGCCCTGATTTGTTTACTTAAAATTATTTTTTTTAATTTGAAAGGCAACTTTTACTTAGCTAAGTGAATGTGGTGAAAATTAATTTGGGAAACGAATACCAAAGTTAAAGGATATCTAAATCCAAAAACAATAATGTAATATTTTGCAGCTTACCAATCCTTAAATGTGGTGGCTGCATTAGTTTTTTTTCCTTTATTTGCAGCTGGTGATCCAGCCAGTAACACACTTTCTGTCTAAAGGTGCCCATACACTGCTCGATTCTCATACGAGAATCGCGGGAAATCCGGCGATCGTACGAGAATCAAGCAGTGTGAACGAAGACGTGCAACCGTTTCTACTGTACGGTCGCACGCCTTTTGTCTAAGGAGCACGCTAGAAAACCAGCCTGAAATCGTACGATTTTCAGCTGGTTTGAACGGTGCTTGGGAGACAAATGCCGAATGGGCCGGTGTGTGCACGCGCCCACTGCCCGTTCAGCATTGCGGTCATCGGAAGCCCGCCCCTCAGGGGGGCGGGCTTGCGATGATCGAGAGTACTATCTGCCTGTCCAAGATGGGCAGATCGTACGTTTTTTAAATCACTTTACAACAATCGCAAGACTGAGGTCTTGCGATGGTTGTACAGTGTATGGCCACCTTAAGGGTGGCTCCACTACAATGTCCATCATTGGACAGTAGCATTGTCAGCATGTGAGTAGGGTGATACTGTAGCAGATTTAGGTGGGCTTGACTAACAATTTAAATATGAACTACAGCTAACACATTTTAAGCAGTTGTACAGCAACAGTTTATTTATTTTCCTTTCGGTAAATGTTTTACATAAATGAATAAAAGTAAGAATGAATAAAAATAAAAGCTGACCATGGAAGTCACCCCTGTCACTGTTAAATGTTTTGTCTCTCTAACTTCCACCTTTACAAGACAGCGTGGTTAGTTAAAGGCAGTTGAAAAATTACAAACTTACTGGACAGATCACAGGTAACAGTAAAGGGGGAAAACTAATGCATCCACCAAATCTAAGTATTGGAGAGCTGTAATATATAAAAATTTAGATTTTGGGGTTAAGAATTAATTTTAAGTAAAAATTCACTCTGCATTGAGGAAACTCACTTTAAAAATAAAAAAATGCATTTAGCTTAATGAATGAGGTAAAGTGCTGCTGCCTTCAATCATCCAAAAATGTGCAAACAAAAATCCATTTTTTTTCCCTTGCACATCATCGGGTGTTATTTTTCTTAAAGACGGGAGAAGAGCAAGTGTGTAATTATATTGCATGATGATTAAGTTTATGTGGCCTTTGGTTTTAGGGTTAGGGTTACTTGGGGCTAATCGCTTTTTTATTGTTCAGCGCACTTAAAATGGCACTTTTGGGTATTAGGAATATTCATTTTTAGACAGGGATCCTTTAGTAAGATGTGCCAGTGTTGTTTTATTTGTGTCTGTTTTGTATCTCATGATGGAGCTGCAACTCCCATTAGGGGGCTTACGAACTCTCTTATGTCTTATACATACTAGCTTTTGTCTGTCTGAATTGAGTGCATTTTCTGAATCTTTTATAAGTCAGTCAGTAAATGACATCAGCACAAGCATTTCGCCCCTTTGTTTACCTCAGCTGCAAAGCAAGGAATGCCCAGCCTTGGATTATTGGATAGTAGTGCCCATGACATTTCCTTGTTCAGAGGAGCTTAGGTTCTGACCAGTTTCAGTCCAAACCTGAAGTGATCTCTACTGATGAACAATTTCTTATAATTGATGGAAGAACAAATCATCAGAAGCAGCAAGAAGCTATGGCACATGCATTTTTACATATTGGATGATGGGTGGAGAGTATGGTATTCCCTTCAGTGGCATTTTGTGGTGCCCTTTTGATATGGATGATGTTTTAATAGAATGGAGTGAGACCAATTTGGAACTTGCTAAATTTGTGAACATTTTAATAATAAATCAAAGAATATTTCCTTACACATAGTTATGGGATCCAATTTTTTAAATGTGTAAATTATAAAAGAAGGTAATACGCCAACAGCAGGTTATTCCCTACTCCACGTGGAGGAGACATTGTCAAGTCCTGTGGCAGTCCATTTTGCTACATGTCACAATAAGTTCCCTCGAAAATGTAAAGGTGAAAGGTAATCACCCTTTGAATATGAGTACATTGAGGAGCAATATTGAATCGATTTTATTTTTTTTAAATAGTTATTTAGGATTCATGAATGCTTTACCCTTCACCCAAATACATCATAAGTTAAAACTGAGGGTCTTTTTTTATGGTAGCAAAATTAAGGTACTGCTCTCTGGTAATTGATGGTGGCTCTCAGACCTCTTAAGCATTTGAGGCTGTGTTCCTATATGGATATTATTCTGTAACATTCTGTAACAAATATAAACATGGGTAAAAGGTGGCACATTTTGTTTCTGTGCCTCTGTGCATCCATTACCTTTCTTTTTATCCTCTCCCCCTGTATTTACACTTGATATAATCAATAATCTCAATGGATGGTCTGAGTAAGTCGCCATTCACACATAAGCATTTTATAGCTGAAAGGGCTAAGCACTAAAATGCTCAACCTAAAAATGTAATGCTTATCAATGGCTGCTGTTCACACCAAAACATTTTGTCACCTGTATCAAAACTGTCAATGGTAAAAGCACATAAGCTGCATTTCTGCAGATTTCTGCACTTTTGGCCCCACAGACTGTAATGGCAATGCCTGTAAATGCACAACACAAGCCTTATTGTGCATTTTTTGAGTGTTTTGTTGCTCAAGAGCCAGCCATCCTCTGCAAAGAACATTGGGAAAATAATGGACAAGCTGAAAAATGCACGGCAAAACATTT